AATTAAAAATCCCTGGTGTTCGAGCTCAGTTTTAAAGGAAGGGCTTTCTGCCTCACGTCGTTCCAAACCTGTGTGACCGTCTTTCTTTAGTGGAGAACAACTTCAGATATTTTGAGTTCAGTGTTCCCAACATTCTCCAAACTATTCAACAGGAGGAAGCCATGCAGGTTTGAAAAGTCACGAGGGAGAGTAAATGATGAAAGTGTTCATTTCTGGGTGAACTATAGCCTACATGATTTCCAGGGAACCGTGTCTAGATCACTATTGCAGTAACAGGGTTAAATCAGTCCAGTGAGACACAGAAACGTGTGTTAAGGCTGAGGAGGAACTAGTCACTGAGTTTGATGAAGTTTCAGAGCTTCATCACATCTCTGAAGACATTGCTGCTCATAAATGATGAACTTTATAATGCTGGTCTCTTTCTGGGTGGCTCTTGAAATCAAGTCTAAGGTAGTAATCTAGTGTTTGTGTTTCTGTAGTTATTATTGTAAACCTCATGATTAGTGTTTAACCAGCAGTCTTGATGTAAATGGTAGTTTAGCTGATACGGCTGAAGGTCAGAGTCACAGTCAGTCTGTTTCATTTCATAACACTCAATCTTTATAAATCGCTATAGAAATAAATGAGATGTAACAAACTTTGTGAGTATATGAATGCAGGTGACGTTAGATGTTTGTAATAGTTGACAACTGATGGTTTGTGGTGATATTGAGTTTTCAGTGTATAACATTTTGGTGTCATGACGAATCCGCACCAAATTCGGGGGATCCCTTCAGCTTGAGGAACCCTCTCGAACCCGAATCGAGTGTACGTCTCGAGGCCCTCTTTCGAATGAGACCACCCCCGCGTCGATAGCCCCTGTGGTTCGGGATTTACGGGTGGTTAAATTTGCGGTCCGGCGCTGACCGATCAAGTGATCCCGGGGGGCTACCGACGCGCGGAGGGTGGCGTTCGAGAGGGCTCCTCGAGCTGAAGGGATCCCCGAATTTGGTGGAGATCCGCCGGCGCGTTCGCGAGATAGTGACACCAGTCAGCACTTTCCTTTCAGTAAGGAGGTTTCTTGTTCAGGCAGCATTCACGCGTTGTCTTATTCGACCGCAAGTGCCCTGACTTCACATGAAATTCCGCTATGATTCCAATTCCAAGGTAACGTACACGTTACATTCAAAGGGCATTAAAGTGCATGAGACGTGAATTTATATTGTATTTATTTACAGAGGTATATTATGTCACTTCTCTAGTAAGTTTCGTCTGTGTGTGAAGACAGTAGCACAAATCTGTGAATGAATGTTTCCGAAGTGAAAAACTTCAATGGAATAGAAGTTGAATGGAATTGAATAAACTTCAACTTTACTGTTCAGTGCACTGATGTCAGACTCATTTTGGATAATAAAGTTTATTATTAAATTGTTAAATGCCCTGCCTCCATTACGTATCTCTGTCACGTCATTATAAGTGTTTGATCACCACATTTGAGTGATCATTTTCAAAAAATGTGTTTATGTATATATATTCTGTTTATGTATATACTGTATTCTATATACAGGTGCATTTCAATAAATTAATTAAATGTCGTGGAAAAGTTCATTTATTTCAGTAATTCAACTCAAATTGTGAAACTCGTGTATTAAATAAATTCAGTGCACACAGACTGAAGTAGTTTAAGTCTTTGGTTCTTTTAATTGTGATGATTTTGGCTCACATTTAACAAAAACCCACCAATTCACTATCTCAACAAATTAGAATACTTCATAAGACCAATAAAAAAAACATTTTTAGTGAATTGTTGGCCTTCTGGAAAGTATGTTCATTTACTGTACATGTACTCAATACTTGGTAGGGGCTCCTTTTGCTTTAATTACTGCCTCAATTCGGCGTGACATGGAGGTGATCAGTTTGTAGCACTGCTGAGGTGGTATGGAAGCCCAGGTTTCTCTGACAGTGGCCTTCAGCCCATCTGCATTTTTTGGTCTCGTTTCTCATTTTCCTCTTGACAATACCCCATAGATGCTCTATGGGGTTCAGGTCTGGTGAGTTTGCTGGCCAATCAAGCACACCAACACCATGGTCATTTAACCAACTTTTGGTGCTTTTGGCAGTGTGGGCAGGTGCCAAATCCTGCTGGAAAATGAAATCAGCATCTTCAAAAAGCTGGTCAGCAGAAGGAAGCATGAAGTGCTCCAAAATTTCTTGGTAAACGGGTGCAGTGACGTTGGTTTTCAAAAAACACAATGGACCAACACCAGCAGATGACATTGCACCCCAAATCATCACAGACTGTGGAAACATAACACATGTAACGTTTATTATTATTTATTAGCTCTAAAAAGGGGAATATTTATGACGAATTATAACTGGTTATGATTCATAATAAATATTTAGATTATATCTTCGAATTAACTGTAGCAGAATCAATATTACAATTATTTGATCTGTCCGTCCACCGAGCAGACAATATAATAATTTATCAATTCAAGGAATATTTATTTTCTGGCCATGACAACTGATGGTTTGTGGTGATATTGAGTTTTCAGTGTATAACATTTTGGTGTCATGACGAATCCGCACCAAATTCGGGGGATCCCTTCAGCTTGAGGAACCCTCTCGAACCCGAATCGAGTGTACGTCTCGAGGCACTCTTTCGAATGAGACCACCCCCGCGTCGATAGCCCCTGTGGTTCGGGATTTACGGGTGGTTAAATTTGCGGTCCGGCGCTGACCGATCAAGTGATCCCGGGGGGCTACCGACGCGCGGAGGGTGGCGTTCGAGAGGGCTCCTCGAGCTGAAGGGATCCCCGAATTTGGTGGAGATCCGCCGGCGCGTTCGCGAGATAGTGACACCAGTCAGCACTTTCCTTTCAGTAAGGAGGTTTCTTGTTCAGGCAGCATTCACGCGTTGTCTTATTCGACCGCAAGTGCCCTGACTTCACATGAAATTCCGCTATGATTCCAATTCCAAGGTAACGTACACGTTACATTCAAAGGGCATTAAAGTGCATGAGACGTGAATTTATATTGTATTTATTTACAGAGGTATATTATGTCACTTCTCTAGTAAGTTTCGTCTGTGTGTGAAGACAGTAGCACAAATCTGTGAATGAATGTTTCCGAAGTGAAAAACTTCAATGGAATAGAAGTTGAATGGAATTGAATAAACTTCAACTTTACTGTTCAGTGCACTGATGTCAGACTCATTTTGGATAATAAAGTTTATTATTAAATTGTTAAATGCCCTGCCTCCATTACGTATCTCTGTCACGTCATTATGAGTT